AAAAAAAAAAAAAAAAAAAAAAACCCAAAAAACAGACCTTTTTGATCCCCGGTAACACCCCCAAAAAACAATCCAGTGTGAAAGAAGGGTGCCCTTTAGCTCCATATTCCGAGAATCACATTCACTACTATACTCATGAAAGTGTTTGAAGGTACACTGCCTTTAACAACAATTGTAAAATTTGTAAAATTTGCCTCAGATAAAGAGTGGAATTGATGTTTAGACATGGTTTAGCAAAGTATGCCTAAAAGACATGCCTAAATATGTATTCGTAAAAATAAAAGGAAGCCTTTAAAATAGGAGAAAAACTACATATATTGGTTCATACTGTGTAAAGGAACAAAGGACAGTAAGAGCAGGTTATATTTCTGTTGACTTTATAATGTATAAAATTATGAAATATATTAAAAGTATCTAAGGTATTCACTTCTCCACTGCGTTTCAGAGTCTAAGACTTAGTCATTTCTTAGTTTTCAGTGATAAAGTATTAGGACGACCGTTAGAATTCTAGGACTTCAAAGAGCTTGACCAATGAAGCCAACTTTGCTCTAGTACGTTCAAGACTTGAATGGAAAACAAAAAGGATGAATTAAAAACTATGTGGCATGTGAATAAACTACTATAACTTTATACACCATTCACTTAGAAGGGACAGCTCATAGGCATCAGTCTAATATGTCTTTTCAGTGATACATGTCTGTAATTAAATAATGTCATTTTCCTCAAAGGAAATAGTCACTTGCTATGTAAAGCAGCTTGTAAATTTAATAGAGAAAGTGTTTTGAATTTTAACATTTCACAAAGTGACTTTTTAATTAACTGAATTAAGAATTTTCCTTCGAAAACTAAATTGTGTACTCTGTTGGTGTATACAATCATTACATGGCCCTAAATGCATTCTAACTGGCCACTCAGTTGTAAATAAGGAAGTAACAGGGAAAAACAGTGCATTTGAAGAGCCCATTTCAACCTCAGCATTCTTGTTCTGCCCGACTTTGCATTACCAGTCTCATGAGCTATCCTTTCGCGAGAGTTTTAGGAATTCTTACCAAGACCAAAGATAATGATATCAGTTACCAAAAACTTGTACCTGTCAGTACTTTCCATGACTTTTTTTTTTAAATTAAACATTTTAGAGCAGAACAATTAACAGAAATGGCAAGACTCAAAACGGCCACAATTAATGGACTCATAAGAGTTCATTATAATAATGATGCAATTGGGAAGGAAATGTGTGTGCATAGGACTAGGGACGCAAGGCCTGTCTACCACTTAGCTGCATCTCCAGGCCAAATGCAGATATTTCTGTTGCACACATCTTAACTAGAATTGTGACTGGTAGCATTACGTCAGAATTGTCAGATTTCAGTGAATTTCACACAGTTTTTAGAAACATATGAACACTTTCCTACAAATATAACGTAGGGAGATGCTAAATCTTCTTTGCAACTATTTCCAATTTAACATATCAAATAAGCCTAATCAGTTTAATGTGTCTCCTTCATATGTCCCAAAGGCCTTTTGGAACGTCCTAAAGTTAGATAAAGTCAATAGTTAAAAGTCAAACTAGAAATTGATTTGGGGAAAATTTATCAAAAATATTACATGTTCCAAAGTTTTGATCAAAATAAAATCACAAGTCATTGGGAACAATAGTCCTACATTTAATCAAAGTGACAAAATACTTTAGAGCAAATACAGAAAACCACACAGCCATAGGAAAAAAAAAAAATCCCACAACAGTGTACCCTGAAGGTATGACCTGCCTGACATATGAACAACTTAATTAAGTTAATGAGGTTAATGGAAGATTCACCTGCCTGCTGTTGTCTATACCCAGGGAACCATCCAGATCTTAGCTGTATTCACTTAGTCACAACCAACCCTCAGGAACCAATTGAGTTCCTAAGTCAAGGGTCCACCGTACTCAATAGGGAAGATTCAATTCCTAAGTAATCAAAAGACCTAATATGTCTATTTTCTATTAAGAACAGAGCAATTCTGTTGCTTTAGCGTACAGAATAAAATTCAAATTTTGCATAGTTTAGATACTCATGTTCAATTCTTAGAACTTATACATAATTATATTTTAATTTTACCTAGCTTAATAACAAAACTCTCATCTCCCCCTTCCCCCTCATTTTTTGGCACAGTACTGAGGATTGAACCCAGGGGTTTCACATTAAGCTGCATCCCCAGCCCCACTTTTGTTTGTTTGTTTGTTTTGTTTTGTATTTTGAGACGGGTCTCACTATGTAGTTGAGACCGACCTGGAACTCACTACATAGCCCAGGCTTGGTCTAGAACTCACTCACAGCGATCCTCCTGCCTCAGCCTCCCGAGTGCTGGGATTACAAGTGTGCACCACCACGCCCAGCTTTCTGCATTTTATTTTTGAGACAGGGTCTCACTAAGTCACTCTGTTGCCCAGGCTGGGCTTGAACTTCCAATCCCCACCCCCCCAGCATCCCAAAATACTGGGATTAAAGGTGTGCACCAGCACGTGCAGTTCACAAAAGTCATCTTTTACAAATTTTATAACACCTTATATTAGTTCAGTAACTTGTTATACTACATTATTCTTATTTGGAAAAAAAGTCTACTTTATATCAAAAAATGATTCTTTTCCTTTTAAAAAACACCTAATACCTACCAGTGATGGTGATCCTTTTGGAGCTCTCAGTGAGAGCCAGCAGAGGCAGGCATGTCACAGGCTCCTCACCCCTGCCCTACCCCTTCACCCATCCAAAACATTTTCCTTACATAAAGAATTATTAGCCTAGGGGCTGGGGATTTAGCTCAGCGGTTCAGTGGCCTGCCTTGCAAGAGCTCAATCCCCGGTACCAAAAAAAAAAAAAGAATTATTAGCCTAATAATTACCTCAGGTTAGGGCTTAAATCTTAGTAGCTTTCATTTTTGGTAAAAAACATAGAAAGTAAGCAACTTTGAACTGTTTTAGACCAGCATTTTGTAGATGAGTATTTTGTAATTATTAGAAACATGCTTTCTCACATTTTTCTTATCTACTAGCTACCCAAAGATACCTAGCTTTTCTAAACCACACAAACACAAAATGTCCCACTGGCAGAATTTAATAAGCAGCACTATTTTTAGGACTAAAGTCAACAAAGATGCCGACACGAGGGGTTCAACTCATCCACCGAGCTGCGAGGACTAGTCAGTGGGCAATCTTTTTAGCGTACTTGACATAATTACTAATTTTCAGTATTTTTTCCATCTGTGAGGGTATTCATCTATTTTTCTTACTACACTCAAGGAGGAAACTACATCTACCTTGTCTATCATCCTATCCCTGGCCCTGCTAAAATCTCTCACATAGAAGTTTGTTCAATGAACGCGCTAATTATTAATCCCAACCAATGTTTTCATTACTCAATGTTTTCCAACTAGACAAGACTTATTCTACATTTTGTCAATGAAAATAAATAATGAACGTCTGTCTTGAGAACCACTTCTCGGACTGCTGAGGCAGGAGATTAGGGCGTGGCCAACGAGCTGATTAAGTGGGCGTGACCTGTCGATCTAAAATTTCCAGGACACAGTTCCCAAGCCCCGCATCTGGGACCAATCAGAAAAATGCTATCTGCAATTCTTCTGGTGCAAAACCAAGCAGGTCTTTGATTGGACGGCCTATATCTGCTATCAGCCTGAAGAAAGGAATGGGAAAGACCTGTCTGCCTTTAACCTCATGGCCGCTATGAGCTTTCTCAGTGGGCCACGCTATAGAGCATACTTTTTTTCTACCTTTAATCAGTGTAAATCCCTGCTACCACTTTTGCACATCTGGTGTGATTCTTTGTTCAGGATGCCGAGGACCTGGGAAGAGTCTACAGAACCTAGAACTTGGTAACGCTACTCCA